CTGGCTCTTTGCAGTTGCGTTAAATATCCAGATATTCTGAAATATCTCGGATGGATATCCATACAAAATACATAGACTGATCAGAAGACACAATATCTCCTTGGCGCATCGGAATTAAGTTGATTTGTTGAAGAAGACAACAACAAAAAATTAGAAGTTGTCATCGACCATGGGCAATGATCAACATCATTTGCAGTCATATCATTGGAATTATTTCATCACTTGTTTATGTTTACATTCGTGAAAATAGCGCGTTGGCTCCACAAATGAAGATCATGTGTTTGTAAAAAACCATTTTGTTATATTGTTGACATTGTATACAAAATAAACGGTAAGGTCGTAAAATTGACTAACAACTGTAGAAACAAAAAAAAAGAAAAAAAGAAAAGAAAAATCATATTTTTGAATCGACGTTGTCTCTCGAAGTGTCCCGCCAAAGGGAATATGAATGGGAATAAAAAAAATGGAAAATCCACACAGATAGCTCTGATCAGGGTTTTCAATTTTGAATTTCAAATCAAAATCAAAAATGTATCAACTCAAATCATAATTTTTGTTGACTTATCAAATCATTTGATCTCAAATCTAATAACCATGCTTCTGATGTCAGAATTAGACATAATTTCTTAAAACAACGATGCATTTCCCTTTTTTTTTTAAATAAAACGAACCATAATCATTGCTTGGATAGAATGTTTCATCTTGATCTGTATGCCAGGATATTACTTCGACAAAATCGGCCACAAATGATGGGATTTCGCATTTCAAAATAGCCGCATTGCCTCTGATTACATATGCTTTGTTCACATCAGTATCATAGAATTGACTAACAACTGTAGAAACAAAAAACAATTTTCGGAGAAAGGAAAATCATATTTTTAAATTGACGTTTGTCTCATACATTTTCGAAGTATCCCAAAAGGAATATGAATGGGAATAAAAAAAAATGGAAAATCCACACAGACAGCTTCTGATTCGTTTCCGAATTAAATATCACTTCTTAAAACAACGATGCATTTCTATTTTTTTTTAAATAAAACGAACCATAATCATTGCTAGGATAGAATACTTCATCTTGATCTGTATGCCAGGATATTACTTCGACAAAATCGGCCACAAACGATGGTATCATACACTTGATAATTGCCGCATTTCCACGTATTACATGTTCCTTCATAGAATCAGCTTCGTAGTATTGTGCGACAACTATTGTTGTAAAATATTTCAAAAACATTCAACATAAAATTGTTTCGAAGTTTGAAGAAAAGGAAATGTGTCTGACTTCGTGTTGCCAATATAATTTTTGTAGAAATGTTGTTTTTTAAAACTTATTTTGTGAACTATAAACCGCATATTAATTTTAACATTTGCTGGGGATAAATGCGTATTTGAATGTGATACAAAACTGTTGAGCTGTTCAAGTCATGTCTCACCAACAGCAGCTCAAATTAAAAACACATTCGCCTCCAGAAGACTGAATCATGTGTAAAATAAGTCGTAAAAACGTATGTTTCTTTGGCTAAAACAAGCGAAACGCGCACAATATTTTTTTTCTTTAAATTTACAATTGAAAGACACACCAAACGACACAAAACTATCGGTGAAAATCAGACACGTAGACAATTCAATTCTTCGGAATCGTGAACGAAACATATCATAATCTGCACGTACAAACATTTAAAATATGTATTTTTTTTACGGAATTTTGTCTGTGGCATTTACAGGGCTGCACAGAAACCAAAAACTTTACGCATATTTACGAAGATCGATCATTTGGTCTTTTATGTACTGCAGACACGAATTGTATGTAGAAAGAAAATGAAGAAGAAAAAAACTGCCAACGGATTCGTTGATTGCTCTGTTTTGTTCTCATAATTGTTTTGTAAATATCTTCTAATTTCTAAAAAAAGAGCCATTTATGTGCGCCGCGTATTTCGTGCTCTACACTTCATGTATCATGTCAACATATATATTTTTTGATCGCATCAGTTTTTTTTCCAAACCATTCAGTATCATGCGCTCGAATTAAGTCAACATTAAATTTTATTGCTTGTTTAATTAATGTTTATATGACTTCTCAGTTAATATTTAGATCATTTTTCTGTCTCTGTGGTCGTTGTGACCCTTTTTTTTATCCGTTGGCTGTCATTTATTTCTAGAGTGTGTTTATCACGCGCTCATGGTTCAAGTGTCATGCATCAAACTGAAAAGTATGCTTGGCAGTTTATATGCTTCAACTGCAAAAACTATCTATCCAACGGACGAAGAATTCACAATTACAAACGAGTACAGCGTTTCTCTTATGTTCATTAAATGTTGCTGTTTTTTTTCGTGAATTATTATCGGAAGGATTTAAACGACTCAACATACAAAAACAAAAAACGATGAGAATGCGTCATGAAACTTGAAAATTTGTGATAGATGACAAATGTGAAGTGACAGTTTTGTTTTTGTAAGCAGCAGGTTTGGCCAATTGATGAATTTGTTTATGTTGCCGTTAAAGCCCTTGAGTTTAGTAAAAATTTAAAGTCAAACAAATTCGAACCCTCACTTTCACAATTGATCTTTAACCAGAACAAATAGATTATGTAGCAAGGCAATCGTCAGAATGTTGTACACAATTTTCAGTGAATTCATGTGATCAATTCATGGTGTTCAAAATACATGATGACACACAGTGTGGTGCGTACACTGATAACATGCGAATACATGGGGTCAATCACGAAATTCTAGTGCATCTAGTTTTTGATAAGATTTCACTAGAAAACTAGAAAATTCTAGTGCGTGAAGTTGGCTCTCAGTAGTTTTTCATATAAATTATATGGCCTTTGGTGTGAAGTTGGCTTCGTTTGTGACGTCATTCTTCGCACTAGATTTACTAGTTTTTCTAGTATTCACTAGCGTGATTCGCCCTATGTGCGAATATTTATACAAATAACATGTTTGATGGATGTCATCAGAGCGCGATTGTTTGTGGAAGAAGGAACATTCCGAAACAAAATGTGCGAGCACCAAAATGGCAAAAAATGAAACGAAAACAAAGAACCGAATTTACGAGAAAAAAAAAACACAATCAATGTGCACACAAAGTCGGCCGTTTCGACTGAATGATTCGTATATTAATAAAAAAATAAGCATATGGCTTGTATTTTAATTTCCTCTTGTCGCTGTTGATCGTTCTATCAACATACAAATCGTGATTCAACCTCTTCTCTTTTGTGTAAACTAAACATGCTCTTTCGTACACGAAATTATAAGATTCAGCAATCATAATTTTTTTTTTCGTCGGCTGATTGGTTCGGTCGTTCGTATTATAGCGAGTTTTTTTTTTCGGTTTGTATTTTCCTGTTGTATTGTGTGTCGGATATTCAAGAAAGAACATTCTCTCTCCGCGAACCATGTCCGTTGTGCAATATTGTATAGTGAACGTCGTCGAGTGTCTTTGCGATGGAATGTATGAAAGTATGTGTACTTCAACGTTTTTTGGTCGTCTGTATGTAGAACTAAATTACTTGAAATTATTTTTTTTATAATATGCAATTTTTATCGCATAACATTTCCATATTTATATTGAATTAATGGGCTTGCATTTCAGATTTGCTATTTGGATTATATATGTTATATCGAATCGTCTGCGATGAATTTTTGACTCTTTGTCTCGACACCATTCTTCATTCTGATCGCAATTATAGTGTCATTGAAAATCACAATTGATCAGATCACTAATTTCTTTGAAAATGATTCATGAATTCGTTGTCAAGTGACGATCACCGATCAAAAGATGATATGTAAATACTAAATATATAAAATTTGTAAAAGGTCTGTAGAAGAGCGATTATATCCAGTGCCTATTCGCATACATTAGATTAAGAATCGATTGTAATGATACTATTGAGATTGAAATGATGGCCCACTCGCTTGAACAAAGCAAATCGAAACGTCAATTTCGTAAAAAAAATATATATATTGTGAAATACCATAACGAATGAATACAATCGAAATAAAAGCTGCCGCATATGTCCATGTAAACACATTTTTATGTTATTTGTTTGTGCATGCGTGTGTGATTCCAATTTGATTTGCTTCAATTCGATTAAATCAAAGTAACCAGAAACCAGTCGTTATTTCAGCTTGTGCTCTGGTTCTATGCGCTTCAACTACTACTTACACACACATTTGATTGAAGTGAAACAATTTATCGTTCAGAAAGTGCTTTCCACATCTTTTATGGTTGAATTAAAAATTTTGCCATTTCATGTCTGAATGAATGGATCAATTTTTATTTCCGTCGCGCTCATAAACGAAAAGAACTTCAAATTGGCCGCCATAATAACATCGAAGATGAATTTTAACTGTTGATATATCTTTTTGAAGCAATGAAGAAGAAAAAATGTTTAGTCCTGAACAAGAGTTTTATTTCAGAAGCGTCTGTGTGGCTGGACGATATCACAAATACAAGCAGCTACTGAATATCATTTTAATTCTTGACGTTTGTCGCGCTTGCATTTGCATTTGTTCGTTTTGCGTCTTTAAAATAAATTTAAGGTCTGCGGACATCTCATCATGAATAATAATGTCTTTATAATCAGTAAATGGCCATGCATCACGTCTTTTTTCGATGCGCGGAAGGTAAAACTTTTAATATTAGTTTGACATGTTTTTGTTCTTGTCTTTGATTGGGCGATTTGTTTGCCACTCATTTTCATTCCCTGAATACATACAAATCAGTGATGGTGTGCACGCATCAATATTTCATTCACGTGCTCTTCGCGTTCAATCAATTATGGAAGATTGGTTTTTTTCGTGCTGTATACCAACGTTGATAATAGAAAAAAAGAAGAAGAATAACCAGAGGCACATAGCAAATACACAACAATTGATCCAAATGCCATAGTGCAATCGAATCAAATCGAATCGTGTGAATAAGCTGTATATCGATGATGAGCTGAAACATTAAATTTTTTTTCGAACGAATGAAAAAAATAAAAGTGTTTTCTTACCAGCACGAACGTTCACATCACGCGAAATTATCGAACCGAACTGATTTTTGGCCAAACATGCATAGACTTGTGCGTGCACCTCTTGACGATAGTCTTCGGCCTGGAATGGCGGAAATACGAGATTGCCATTCGACAACACTTGTCTAAGTCCGGGCACATCACCAACGGCCGTACCATCACTACGAACCCATATGATTTCTGGTGTCGGACTTCCACTAGCGCGACATTCCTTCGATTGCAAATAAGGGAAATAATAACATTTTATTTGTACAATTTTATTATTAAGAATAAAGCTATAAATCTACAAAGAAAATATGCTAATAAGTTAAAATGTGAAGTAAAAAAGAAATCGGTTCCGATACATACAACAACTGCACCTGTTGAATTCGAGAAATCAATGCGATTAATTGGCTCTTTCAAAAATACGGGTCCCTTATTTTCTTCATCGGTTGTCGCTGGAGTTGCATTTATTATATCTGCAGAAAAAAAAACACATTTTCATTAATTTTAATTCGAAAAAGGACTAAACTAATTGGCTTAATGCCATTTGAGTGCTAAGAGTCGCCGGTGTATCGCGGTGTATTCAATTTGATTTTATTGACTTTGTTTTACAATACATTCTGTTTATGTTTTACTTTAAAAGAATAAGTACTTTATCAAGAAGTGTCTAAAACATCAAAAATATCTATGGTTGGTGTTTTTGTCATGAAACGTGAACTTTAAATGAAAATAGACTCGTCAAATTATTTCAAAATGACTTAAAGGCACGCCATAAAACCCTTTGGCATTCCTTATGCGTTATATTGGATGTTTAGATGTGTTTTAAGAATTCATCATCTTATTTTAAATATTCATGTGTTTCATTTCGTTTGCACTCCTTGGAATTTAAAGAAGTTGCTGTGGTATATCACTCACATCTCGGGATTCAGGTACATTTCTTTTACATTATAATATCATTTGCATCTCATAATTTGTTGATAATTTCAAGGAAACATTCTGGATAAAATTAAATGGAATGGTCCAATTCATAAGAATGTGCACTATATTATTATTATTATCTATATCTATCTAAATAAAATTGTGTTAAAAAAAATTGTTGTTCTAGTTAATGGCAGTGACACGTATTTTGAAGTTTATTGATGTTATAATACCGCTTCATCACCAATAATGCAGTTAAGATGTGAGGAATTTTCTTACGTTGTGACGACAACCATTTGGCTGGCACGACACATGAAATTAAATAGATTTAGATATACATATCTTTCTCACTCACTCTCTCTCTCTTGTCATCACACGAAATTTGATTTAAAAACGAAAAAGCGACGAATGGAGAGAGAAAAGAATAGAGTGCAGCGGCAGCTGAATATTAATTTCAATGTCGACTTTTAGGTCGAATGTGATTGTAAAGACACATCACATAAATTATACACTGTTGCACTCAAATGCTCTACAAATGCATGGCTCTATAGAGATAGCGTGCACAATATTATCATAAATATTTTTGTCTTAGAACATTATTTAATCAATAATAATCAACGAAGCGACTCGATTGAAACAAATATCATTTGATATGGACTGAAATCGTCGACTGGAGTGCAAGAGATGATTGTGAGCATGACACAATTTTCTAAATGAGCAAAATGCATCTCTGGTAATTTTTTTTTAAGTTTCTCTAAATTCACAATGCGACATTTCAAGAAATTTAGTTTGTAATAAAAATAAGTAAATAAGTGGAAAAACGAGCGATGACTCAAACTAAACAAAGACTCTATACGGTGAGGTGTAAGCATGACGATGTTTTTTATATGTATGGTGGATTTTTCTCTTATTATATATTTTTTGTGTCGACGACAAATATAGAAGATACCGAACACACGTAGAAGTTCACGGTTCTAAACACAAGTGGCTGAAAGAGACCATAAGCTGTTGTATCTTATTCGGATAATAATCGCGCAACAGGGCAATGTCGCCTTTTTCTTCGTGATACTTTCATCCGTGTACTTTTTTTTGGTCGTATATAAATTTGGTTTGTGTGTTTGTGTTTTTTTCTCTTCTCTTTACATTTTCGACTATGAAATTTTAGTCAATTCTTCCTGCCTTTGTTTAAACTTTTCAGTGTGTTTTTTTATGAGTCGCATTCAACGCATTCTAGTTTGTTCTTACTAAGTTGGATTTTATGGGCATTGTTCGGTGCTTTGTTTACACGAAAAGTGCGTACTTACAATTGAAAATAAACGTTTTGTACGCACAATGGCCCCAACAGGCCCCGAAAAAAACGAAGAGATTGTGATGCATTCATATAGTTATGTCGTCACAAAGATGTTGGAATGCGCCGTTACATTTCATTATATTTTTTTACTCTTTTTCGTTTATCACACACACGCATCTCTTTTAGAAATGATGATAACTTTTTTTTTGTCTTTTGTGAATTAACACGACAAACACATTTCATGTCTTATCTCGTTTTGTTTATTTAACCATTACTTGAATATTGCATGTGAAATCCACATTTTTCAAATAATAATGAACTCGGTCGGACCATTCAACATTTGATTTTGTCACTTGAATTGATTCAACGAATATTCTTGGATTGTGTGGATGTCTCCGACGAGATTCTATTTTTGAATTTTCTCAAGACCAAGAAAAAAACGCTGGTCCTGAAATATGTTTCGCTTCTTTGTTGCAAATCAAACGAAGTTGCGCGTATGCACAACTACGGAAGTGGTATTTAAAGAAAGAAATTCGACTTGAATGAAGGCGAGAGGGAAAAAAATGTCCAACATATTTTTTTTTGTCACACATCTCTCTGCAGTCGAGTAATTTGTTCAAAATCTAGCAAAGTTTTAAATGAAATAATGCAGCCGGATAATTATGAAATTATTATCGTTTAACGCCATTTAAACCTCACTGATGCAGTCTCTCATTTGTGTTAGTTTCGTTGCTCATTTTGTGGATGCAGTCGTGCACGACGTGAATTCGGTTGAAGCAACAGTGCACTGTTCTAACATATGTCCATTAAGTCTTGACAGTAAATTCAGATGTTTGCCATTTGAACAACAAACATACAATATTAAATTCTTTTTTATTGGTATAAACCTTCATTAATGGGCTACGAATAGCACATTCACCTTACACTGAACGGGCCATTGTCTTCGATTTTCCTCAGTATGCGTCGAACCTTCAAAATCATGCTTTGGCGGACCAATATGTCGATTTCTTTCAACTTTCTTTCGAACCTTCTCGCTAATTGTTGCTTGTTTCAAGTATTTTGGACCTTCGCCTATAACTTACATCCAAAAACAGACGAGAAATAATTAATTTGGTGTCTTTTTGTGAAGTTAAACAGATGGTCCTTTTTTCACGGAAATGTCATATTTTAAGAAGTGAGCCATTATTGTGGTTTTTTCTGCTTGCAAACCAAAATTTTGTGTTAAATCAGATAGTTCTCAATGAATTCTATCGATTTCAACAACAATTGATTGATAATGGAGCATGTAATGGAGGTTTTACCTTACGTTTCAGCACCAAATTCTCGAATATTGGCTCTAAAACACCTTCCAAAGAAGATCCTACCATACAAACACGCCTTTATCAAAGTTCGGTTTGTCGACGTCTCTAGCCTTATATAGTAGTGCCCTAACATAATCAATGCAAAAGAAACCACTTGCACTTGATTCGTGAAAATGATGAATTTTTCAGTGCAAAATGCTATGAGGTGAAGTAAATCCCAATTTTTGACACCCTATTGAATTTTTTCATTACTTATTTTGCTGATTCCTAATGACCGGGTCTAAATCTATTGTTTTGGTTCAAATTTTGATGTGCTGTAACCATAAAAATCACCAAAAACGAATTTTTGCTTGACCAACCCGGTTTTCGGTACTTGATGACAATTTTGGAGGGTTGGAGCATTTAAATAGGGAATACGACCGTACTTTTTGCTTTCTCAATAATCTTTGTCTTCATACTAAGTCCATGAAACACAATATATGGTTCGTAGGCAGATGGGTTCATCTTTAGACACATGCGAAATTTGTTTTGAACTTAGCCGCAACAACCATTTGAGACACTTTTTCGTAAATCCAATTTGTACGTCTCCGCGAATGGATGTATTTCATCGAATTGAGTTTGATAGTAGTCCCGAGGTACTGATAAACGTACCGTGTGCATTGGTTGATATTTTTGATTTTGTTTATGTGGCGCAATAAACGCCTGAATTTACTGCCAAAACTTTATGGACATATGTTATAGTACTGTGAAGTTGATTTAATAGAGAGAAAAAATGAAACAAAGTTATTTACATTTCCTTTTGTCTCGAAAATTAGAAAAGACGGAACCCGAAAAGACTGACATATGCCCAAGGCACTTACAAATGTAAATCCAAAGCGACTGAACTTGTTCTGAATGACCCGACGTTACTTAGTATATTATTCAATCAAAATGACTCAATTCATCTAGTGACACAAAGAAAATGGAAAAAAATTGTCAGTCAAATGCAAGCGCATTAGATGGTTTGGCTTCAGTAGCATTTAGCTGCCAAACGTAATTGAAACTTAATGGTTATCTAATAAGTTTTGCCTGGACGTGATGTGAAATGCAAATGATGAAACGGCGTGCATGAAACATACACACAAAACACTTAAAAATGGATGGAAAATTGACATCGTGACATTCCATCTCTGTCTATTTCATCTTTCACTGGAAATATGCGTACTTACAACTTTAAATAAACATTTAAGCAAAATCCAAAGTTTCAATTTCACTGAATACTGATTAGAAGCGTACCAATAGAACACACAGACCCATTGTGAATGCCCATTAGAAAACAAAGAAGAAGAAAAAAAAAATTCGAATCGAAATGGTATACAAAGCAAATGGAAAATGGTATGCAAATAAAATATTGGTTTGTCTTTTGTTGATTCGAACAATTCAAAAGATTGTCCAATCACCAATCTCAAGAGTCTACTCTATAAGTTGTATTTTATTTACAGAACATACACCATTTAAAGATGTATTGGGTATTGTTGAGTATTGGAAAAGTTCATGTTTCTAGCAAATCGCCTCGAATTGATTGCAATTAATATTAAATGTGCATAAATTGTTGGATTTCCTGACGATTTACCGATTCGGTTGTAAATTCGTTAGGTCAACACCTGACCTCAGTAAAAAAAGGAGAGAAGTGGAAACAACAACGTTGAGCTTTATGTGAATTGTGCCATAATAAATGGTGCGAGGTATTTCTTGAGAAAGTGATATCATCGTTTATGCTAGTTTCGCGTTTATGACCACCTGTTGTGGTACTTGGTGCAAACACTTTGTTTGGCAACAACCGGAACAAATTTTGTTCACAATGCAAATAACATTAATATTTACACATTGTTTTCATATAACAACAACAACTAATTTAACTAAAATCGGAAACGATTCAACGAATTCTTTTTTGTTACTTTTATTTGGTTTTAGAATATTTCGTGTCAGGTCATGACAAAGTTTCATTTTGTCGTCACAATTCTCATCACAAAAATGTGGTTTGTTAGATATAGTTTTTCACATTTGGTTGTTCGGGCTAAAGTATCCAAAAAAAAAAAAAAAACAACAACAGAAGGTCTTTAAAAATCTGATTTTCTCTTGTCCCTTTTCTCATGATCTTTCTTTGGAATCGGTTGCTTGAATGCACACACAAAAAAAATGATTTATGAAGAGAAAAAACTATGGCTGAGATTATCATTTCTACGTTTCTGTTGAGTGCAACAAGCTAAAGTGTGCAAACAAAAATTGAATGTGGCGTAGAGGTTAAGAAAGAAGAGCACCGAATGAACAGACCAAAACACCGACAACGATGATGATGGTAAAAAGGAATTTAAAACTTAGCAGCTGTCATGCAGCTGTTCCTTACCCAAACCAATCAAATCACGCACAGAAAATAATGAATATACATGCATGCACACGGATTGCATACATAAGACATATGAACAGCATAAAAGAATCATACGGATCATCGAAAAAGAAATTGAACCGGGTGGAAGAGAAAAAAGTAGAACGCACTCATTTTTTTTGCATTTGCACAACGCACAATACACCAAACAATAAATTCATTGTTTTTCTTCATTTTATATATCGTTTCCTTTCATTTACACATGTACCAGCGTGACTGTGTCTTTCTATCACAATTGCTTGCGAAACTTTGACATTTATTCTTCGTTTGAACGCTGTCTCAGACTTTTATTCATTGCATTGCATTTGAAAGATTTATGAAATATATATGAAATCATAAGTTATTTAAACGCAAAAACACTAGAGATTGTAAACTAATCGACTTGTTAAAGTAATAAAAACAAATATGACTCAATTTTAGTAAACATTTAAATTCACACGTACAAATACGTTGTTATCGCACCAACACTTGTATCACAGCAGTTATGTTGGCCGACCACATTAGATGCCATTGTATTTGGTTGCGTTCGGTAAATTGGAAATGTATTTGTTATAGCAACACAATTCGGTGCAAACTCAATTATAGAAGCATACGTTGTAATTGTTGTTTCGCTTTTGTGTGAAATATGAATATTATGTTCGTGCTGTCGAATGTCAATACAATCGATAATGTTGGTGCGACGTTCACACAGACATACAAATATTTCACTTTTAATCGAACATAAAAAAATAGCCGGTATAAACAAATCTCACACACTTGCGCCCGATTAAGTATAAAACGACGCTCTGAATCAGAGCCTCTGATACACTTTTCGAAGCTGACTTTATTCTTAAAAGTTCCGCCGTACCGTTCAAATCACTTGATATTATTTAATTTAAATTACTAATTGATATTAAAATAGTTTGGTTGTTTCTGTCTGCAATTTGGTTGATCACATACTTCGATTCATTCCGTTTAGCTGCAATTCATACTTATAATTCATCATGCAAAACGAGGTAAATATTCTAACAGTACATCCACTTAGATGTTTCATCCATTGTAATTTTTCAAAATTGAAAAAAATTGCATTTAAGAAGAGATGAATTATTTTAATCTATTTTTTTTTTTGAATATTTAATAAATGATTAAATATTTTTTTTCGAAAAATGTCAAGGTTTTTTGAACTACGAATATCTATTAAAACATTACGGAACATTATTCCACATTTTTGAAATGCAATGTGCGAAAATATTTTCATTTGAAACTTTTGAAATCTTAATAGCTTTTAAACTAAATGTATCTTTTCTTATTTTGAAAAAATATTATTTAAAGTCGAAATTGCCCTTTTTATTGCCTTTAGTTCTCTGATGAAAATTTCAATATAAGTTATGTGAAGCTGGAAAAGATACCTCCAGAAAAAATAAAGAAAGAAAAAAATCATGGTGCCACCAATGGTAGCAGCAATAGAAAATCCGATGAAAAAAAATCACAATCGACTCAACCGAAGAAGAAGAATATGACGAAGACCAAGAAAAAAGTCGATGGAAAAAATGATCATGCTGAACTGTGGTTCGAACCGGAACGTATTGTGGGTGCAACCGATTTATATGGCGACAAAATCACATTCCACATCAAAGTCAAGGACAGAGATGACTATGAAATTGTGTCATCGAAAATTGCAAATTTGGCTTGTCCACAATTGGTGATTGCATTTTATCAAAAACATCTCGTTTTCACTGATTAATTTACCGTTAAGCCTATTGATTGGGCCAATTGTTAAAATTTATTTATTTGGTTTTTAAGTCTACTTTAAAAAGCCAACAATTGTAGTATTGTATTCCTAGTTAATTAACAATAGTCGAGATCGATTGAGTCAATAGTTCAAAATATAGTTACATTAGTTTGTTTTTTTTTTTTATTATTTGAATAAATAGTCGATATATAATATGAAAATAGTGAATGAAAAAGTTTAGTTAATCCGTTATCACAGTTGTGTCAAGAAAAATATTAAGTCATTAAAAGAAAAGACGTCTAATTCCGTTTGATTGTTCGAGTTTCACTATCAAAACTATCAAAAAAATGACTGTTGATTTTTCGCCGAAAATTATTGATTTTGTCAATTTGTAAGAAAAGAAAGTAAGCCTTTAACACAAATTGTATTTGATTTTGAAAATCATATGGCAAAAGTAGCATTCTATGTATGAGCAGCAATTGTAAATCACCACATCAAAAAGCATATCGTTTTCACTGACTAATTTACCGCTAAGTGAGCCTATTGATTGGGCCAATCGTTAAAATAACCTGTTGAAACTTCGAAGAAGTAGTATTTATCGTTCATGTTCTTATTTCGTTAATTGTTTAAAACTATAAAAAAATTACACTCGATTTTTCGCCGAAAAGTGTTGAATTTGTAAAGAACAAAGAGTTGACGTTATGACTTGATTTGCGACGATGAAGAGGATTTTGTCAATTTGTAAGAAAAATAAAAATGTTGAAGCAAATGAAAGTAAACCGTAAACACAAATTGTATTTGATTTTGAAAATCGTATGGCAAAAGTGGCATTGTACGTGTATGAGCAGCAATGGTAAATCACATCAGTCGCACAATGAACGATTTTTTTTTTTCTAAATTGAACGAATCACTCAATTACGCTGTGTGTATCATTTTTGTTGAGATTCTTATAGTGCACAAAAACGCGCGGCAAATAAACAACAACTCCTCCCACATAAAATCGAATGTTCATTACAAACATACACACAAGTGAGAGACAAAAGAAGAAGAAGAGGAAGAAGAAGAAGAAGAAGAAAAAAGTCAAAGCACAATATCCAGCACAATGCCGTTCATTTACCGGTTTGTATATTGGTTGTGTATGGATTTGTGACTGATAGCCAACGTTCAATCAAAATTGTGTTGCATACAATTTCTCACATTTGACTATTTACAAAAAAGTGTGTGTTTGTAAATGACAATTCAATGTTAAGTTTTCAATTATAATTGAATACACGCACGATCGGCAGCGAGTCGCCGGATTTTCTTATTCGTCGCAGCATTTCATTGTAAATACTTACCAGCATTATAACTCCATATAAATATTAGTGCGAATATAATCCAATTCCTCGGTAATCCCATGTTTGGTTGTGTTTCACTTGTACACAGATATCAACACAAAACACAGATATTATTGATTTCACTCTTTTTTTCTTGCTTTTCTTTCGATCAATTTTTTTTTCTCTTTATTTGCTGGTAGTAAAACACTTAATTAGTTTCAGATACTTTTTTCTTTCTTTGATCGTCGATTAATTGTAATCATTTCACAAATCACAATTTACACATCCATAATTGATTCGATATTAATCCAATATTGGTGGCTGGCGAGAAAAATGTTAGCTATTCGCGATTGAAATAAAATAGAAAAGAATTTCCTTAAAAAAATTGAACAATGTTAAATGGGCAACATTCTCAATTGACTGGGTTACTTTGCAACAATTATCGATTTGTTGTTGACCGTAAAATCAAATGGGTCAGTATCAAAATAACAAATTGATTTCTCACTTTGATGATATTGATAAATTTAAAAAAATCAACATATTTATATCTTTTTTTTTGTTATCGATTCGATTTAAACGAATTGGCATCAAATTGTAATGGCTCAATTTTGTATGTTGCCCTACAATACAGTAGAATCAAACAATTGCTAGGGAAAATATTTGTGTTTGACATGATTTCTGTTTTTGCTTTGCGTTAATTGAACTAAATGAATATCATAACGAATTTGAGACTCGAAATGAAAAAAAAACGCACACACAGTGCCATAAACAACAATCGGACATTGCACTACTTATATACTGTCCGACACTCCGCACATACTACACATATTGCGTGTTGTTATACGATATATGTATTAATACTGCTGCTGTTGTTGTTGTTGCGGCAATTTGATTCATTTAAATGGGCTTCTTGCATTCACCACTCAAAACGAATTAGATTCGGTGTTTTGAAATCTTCTGAAAACTCAGCGCAAAAGAATAAGAAATATGACCAGGCGGCACGTCCAGAGGCGTGATCATTTACTCGCAAAATGATTCATATAAATATCATTCACTTCATTCATATCACTTGATACAACGACACATTTTTCGAAAAAAATGAAATAAACGCAATGCGCGCATTCGAAACACAAAAAAAGCGGCTGCATTTATATAGTGGAGAGAAAAATAGTAATGTAATGAAAGAAAGATATTGTAAACAATACGAATCAATTAATTAAACCCGTTCCGTATCAGTAAAAACACCAAACATATTTCAAAGAATATTAATTGCTGTTAATTAATTTGATGTGCGAAATGTTATGCATTTTTAGCCGTTCATTTCATGCGCCAGTTTATTCGGAGCAATTAGAATAAACATCGATGCATGGTATCATCCAAAACTCCATTGGTCCGAAAGTCATTAAATAGAACTGTGCTATTTTGCGGTAAAAAAAACCCATTAGAAAAGTATAGACACATTTTTGATTAGCTAATATTCTTTCGCTAGAACAGATGAAATTTGAATACGGTTTAGCATATCGTTGATGAGATACCATAGGCAGATTTAATTAGTTTAATGGATTGAACCATTGGCTACCGTGCCCGGCCAAAATATGACACACACACTCCGTGGAATCTTCGTTCTATTTACGTGCCGTATTTACGTATTGTAATTCGATCGTTTTTGACAACTGTTCACGTTTATGTATATAATATGAACATTGTTCGCAACGATTTACGTGCGCTTCAACAGCAAAAGTACAATCATTGTGCACTATATCAACAAAATATGAGCAGACTTTTTTTCGTCATACAATAGAGAGAGAGAGAGAGAGAGAGAGGAACAAAAAACGAACGATCCGAAACGAGTGTATATGTGTGAATTGCGACCGGGAATTGGAAACAAAACACGCATTGAAATCGAAACTCAAAGTACAACACACGCGTTGTCTACAAAACATCGGAGTGTCAGCGAATGAATTTTTGTGTGTTTTTTATTTAAACATTAGATTCGTACGCAAAGCAAACGCCATATCCATTTGTTGCCGTTGTTTATGGCCATTCAAACCAAGCACAAATGTACACACTTTAATCTATTTGAATTAATGAACGAAATGTTAATACATTTAGATGGCATTTAATATAAAGAGGCAGAGGAAAAAGGTATTCATCAGGAGAAACGCAATAAATTCACTACTGTTGCGAGCATGTTTTGATGGCCGCATATATTCCGAAAAAAAGTTTGCAGCATTTGATATAAATATTTGTAGCATGCAAATCGTATCCATATAGATAGAATGTCGAGAAAAAAAAACACACCAAGAAATAGTTAATGGCTCGATGGAAATATCTACATATATTTTTTTTTTGTACAAGCAAAACTACATTCACACTATCACCACATATACCATTTCTTTTGGGGAGTAATATATATGTGTATTCATTGACGCTAGGACTTTCGAGTGGTGAGCAGATTTTTCGTGAGCCATTACCCGTATTCATTTGCATGTATGTGTGTCGTAGCGCGATTCATGCTCAAGCAAATTTTCCATTTATATCGCGTGTATAACACACAAAATGAGGGTGATTCACCCCAACTTACAATCACCAACGCATTCACGTTCTATATCTTTCAGGTTTTTGAAGCATTTACGCGAATAGTACGCATACACATACACCTACACATACACAAACACACACACACACACACATTGAAAATGGCATGTACGTGTCATAAAACGAATATTTCGGATATACATTGATGTCGTGAGATATGGTTGTTTGTATGTCGAGCCACTCAACACTTTCGAAAAGGATACGGAAAATCGAAAAATGTTGATATATTTTTACACACAACCGTACAAACTTCACGCTGGATTCGGCTATCATTGTATTAATATATAGATGAGATAGTATTATGTACGCGATTTCAACAATGGCCATGGCATTGCCGAACTTGGCGATATATACAGTTTGCCATTTGTTTGTTGCTTTCGACCAAATACAATATCCCATTTCACTCACAATCTATGCTCAATTTTAATGATGAATTTCGGTTAAAAACCTCACACATTCTGTCATCATTTCAATTGAGCCTGCGTGTAAGATTTGATATGGCTTGTCTTTAAAGAGCCTTTTGATAGGATGATGCTTCTGTATACTATATCGTTTTTTTATGAGTTTATGTTCTTTTTTGCTTTATACACGCATGGATGGCTTTTTTTTACATGTATGTGTACTATTACACTACATTTGTTTACTTTTCAGATTTTATTGTATTTTCTCGATAAATTATGTTTTGTTTGAACATCATTTCCATAAACAGTCCCCAATTAAAAATCTACTTTAAATTTCTCTCTTTTGCTCGATGGAATGGTGGCACACATCGAACACTAAATAAAAGAGATTAAATTAGACAAATGTCCGCATATTCACAGTGAATAATCATTAGTTGATATTCTCAGTTAATTTAAAGAGAATATTGACCATTTCAAAAATCTGGTTCATTTTTTTTCGCATTTCATGAAGCTAGAAGAATTCATCACACGAGGAGGTGTATCGTTCCATTGGCACGCAAACGCACACATGCTCAAGCGCAAGACGAAAAATTTGTTTACTGTCAAACGTCAATGGGAGATATCTAACAAATTTTCTTTTTTTTTCTCTTTTCAAATGATTTTCTGCTCTTTTCTGGATCGAATGAAAATAGAATATCGGATATCGTTCGATTTTACATCGAATGTGATATTTTTAGGTAGAAATTTTTACATCGATTTTTGCACATTTTTCAAACAAATGTGGCAAAATGATGACGAACAGTGTAAAGATTCTAAAATAGCAAATTTATGCGATGTGCTCATTATTTGGTAGCCATTAGGTTTTTTTACATATATATTTTTCAATTACATTTAGCTGCCATGGCAGAATGAGCATTTATTCCAGCCAACACACAAAGAGCAAGAATCGCCCAAACCCACTGTGAATAACAACAAAATGTGCAGTTTATTATGACACATGCGGTTGCACTTTGATTTGCAATGTGTGAATATGCACATTCTCTCATCAATTCACATGGACATGTTAACGAGTCGGGATGTTGCACTCACTAATCGCTCGTTTCTCTCAATTCAAAATCACTGCAGTACTTGCAGACTAATGGACCCGACATACACACACAAAAAAATATGAAATAGTCCAAAATAATCGCCGTCAAATGGTCGCTGATTGTATGAGGTTCATTGATTTGTTCACATTTGAACGCTATCGCCACATTCTCATTATGACTAAGTTATATTATCTGTATATCTTCTTTTGGTTTTGCCTTTCTTGAGCCATTCACTTTTTTTTTGTGTGCTCACATTCGTCGTGCATAGATGTAGCCAGCCTCATTAGGATTTTTTCTTCTCTTTCCTATGCATATTCATTAAATTCAAATTTCATATATGAACGCGTATGAGAGCATTATCATGTATCGAAGACAAACAAACAAACAAACAAAAAATGGAGTAGTCGCTTATTTAATTCGGTATCAGTATTAATGAATGAAAATCATCGGCTACACTCATAACAGTAGCGTAATGCAAACATGATTAATATTAACAAACACCTCCCGTATTGCATGTCGTCAATTATTCGACGTACGTATGAGTTGGATGCGTGACAATTTCGCGATGTAGAAAAAACACGCGCATTCACACACTGAGCATATCTCAATCAACAATAGTCAGGATGCAAAAAAAATTCAATGCACAAAAGAATTCACAGTATTTCTCGGTCTTTTGAATTCTACGAAAAGAAAATGTTGGTAAGCAGCAATTCAATCATTATGAATTTCAAAATCCAGACAGTTTATGTACATTTTTTTTTTCAGAATTGTGTTGGTACCAAGTTTTTATCATTATTATTTTCTTTGATTCTCAAATGATTCAGCCAGTTTTGGCGGTGAATAAAGATTATTATTATTATTTTACATTCAATCAGATTTTATTGCTTCTTTCTAGTCGTCGAAATAAATCACTAAAAGCATTCTTTATGTTGCAAAATAATCCAATGCGGTTGAGTTTGGTCGCAAGATATGCACGATTTATGGAAAATGGTTTTGTTGTTTATTTTTTTTATTTTTGCTGTTGTCTCGTCGTCTTCATATCAAAACCACCACACAAATAAATGCATATAAACTAATATTGACGATATTAACAAACACAATAATTTACCGGTTTGTATGAAAAAATGGTAAAAGTGACGTACACCACACCAACTGTGTGGCCGTTTTAAAATTTGCGATAGTGAATTTGTTCACTTTGGATTTTCTTTTAAAATTTCAATAAAAACACACACTAAACACTCCGATATATAAATTGTTCGAAATTCTGGGCAAAATGTTCGCGATAAAACACAAAATTTTGTTTACATTTGCGCGCGATATACGCCCGGTGTAAACGATGCTCGTGACGAACGCTCGAATTATTTTCAACGATGACCGTCAACACTTGCAAATTTTTGACTTTCACTTGGTCAATTCGAAACTGATTGAATTTTGTATCGAATTTTGTGTTTTGATTTTTTGAAAACAATATTTTTTTTGTGTAAATTTTGTTGATAGTATTCCTACGGTACTGAACTAAACGCGAGCAACGACGCGCATAATCCTAATAGCTCAATATAGCTACGAATACTGATTTCAGTATACAAAGCTGACGGAATAACCAGAGAGACAAAAAAAAAACTCTCTTTTTCAGAACTCACTCTTTGTTCAGAAAATGTTGCCGATGTATGTGTGTTTTGTATGGTGCGTCTGTGATACATGTATCAAATGGATTGAGTGCGCATATGAGAAGAAGAGAAATACATATGCCATACACGGTTCTATATTCCCCTACCCATTGCAAGCGAACCTTTGATTTTGTATACGCGCTTTTGGGAGCGCAACACATACACACACACAAACGTGACAAATAATAGAATGAAAGAGAGCTACTTTAGAACTATACATTGAATGCGCATATGTTCACATTCGCAATAAATTATTGCCACTCTTGTGCTCATCATATTTCCACTTGAGCACGTCTTCTCTTTTGGATCGGTGCGTTTTCTTCCGTCACGTACAGTGTATCGCCATAGATGATGATAATCTATTTCGTTCGTAGGAGGATATCAGAATTGAGCAAGTCAAAACGATTACACACAAGAATAACGCACACAAAATAGGTGTGGTTGTGGTAGTTCAATTTAACTTGTTCAATTTATTCCAGCATACAGGAACCGTGCAATTTTATTTCAATTTAGTTAATATGATTGTATGACTGTTTTTTTATTCTTTTTTTTCTTCTAGTATGAAAAGTAGTGGAAATGATAATTGTTCAAGTATCAAATTTATTTTCAATTCTGGCTAGTATCTCATTTATTTTAAATCATTTGTACATTATACCAAGTCTCCGAGAGTTTCATATAAGCCTTCCCATGCAGATGGTAAAAAATCGTGAAAAATGAAAAAAATAATTTACTTTTTTTCTTCGATTTACAAATACTATTCAATTTTCTGTACCATCTGGTGAAATCAGAATGAAAAAAATCGCATTCCTTATCACCCAAATCACGATGGGCATTCGGTCACTATTCAATAGGTGTTACATAGGAAGTTTATATGAAACTCTCGGAGACTCGGTATAGAGCACTCCAAAAGTGAAAAAAATCCAGATCTTGATTTGCATGATAAGGAACGCGATTTTTTTCATTCTGATTTCACTAGGTGATACAGAAAGTTGAGAATTGAAGAAAAAAAATTTAATTATTTTTTCCATTTTTCACGATTTTTTACCATCTACTTGGGTGGCTTGTATGAAAAACACGGAAGACCGCTGAAATGACACTGTCGTACGTCCGTACGTATTTTGCGTTTGCCATTTCAGCGGTCTTCCGTGTTTTTCATACAAGCCGCCCATGTAAATGGTAAAAGATCGTGAAAACTGAAAAAAAAATAATTAAATAAAAAATCCAAAAGGATTAAATTCTAATCCTGAATATATGGAAAAAATTCCCAATTAGAATATTAAAACAATACTTAAAATAAATTGTTTGAATTCATTTTGTTAGTTGTCATCGATTTCACGGAGCAAAACATATACAAAACTACAGTGGAAAAGAGAACTGTCAGTTGTAGCTGAAACAATACATAAACACAAGCATCACAACAGAGTGATGTACACCTTAAGCGTACATGTGATGATTGCGCATGTATTGTTTCTTTCACGCAACCGCTGCTATGCTTTGAACTGTATGTTTTGCACCGTGAAATCGATGATAACCAATAAATTCAAACAAACAAATAATTTGTTACAAATTATTTTAAGTATTGTTTTAATATTCTAATTGGGTTTTTTTCTATTTATTCGGGATTAGAATTTAATCCTTTTGGATTTTTTATTAAAAAAATCCAAAAAGATTTATTTCTAATCCCTTAAGTTTTACAGTGTACGCAATTTTGCCCAGAACACTTTGAGCCAGGTTGGAAACTGATTTTGTATTGAGATGTTCAATATCGGCAACCACACTAAAGATTGCGTGAGTGCAATTTTTTTTCATTATTGTCGTTTATTCCTTATTGCAATTAATTTTTTCATATTAGAAAATAGTGTGTATCGTTTTGAAAACTTTGCCATTTTGCCCACAGTGCTTGCCATTTTGCGTCTTTCCGATTCGATATTGTTATGAAATTCCCTCTTAAAACATAAATTTTCATTTTGAATACAAAATCGAACTCTTCACTCCTACCCTTTATCTATTCGGCTTTTTTTTCTTGTGCGTTGTTTCGTCGTTTCGACTGGATTTCATTGGTTTTTTTTAACAGTGGTCGTTTCTTAAAATTATTTGTTGCCATCATCATCCTTCTTTTCTTTTCATTCGCATCAACTGACAATGATCATAAAATAAGATTCGGGTGATGACGATGTTGTGGCAGTCAAAAGCACATGAAGCAACCACTGGATTATATATTTCTTGCAATGGTGCACAGAAACCGACAAAGTACCCAAAGTGTTAACAAATTTTTTAACCTTTTTTTAGTACAAAACAATGTGACGAAAAAATAAGGTTCAAATGTTAAAGGTACTACTAATAATTCTAATAATTTAATAAAAACACCAACAATCTTTGGTTTGTTTCTTTTTAATTTATTTAACATTTTATACCAAAAGTAAATTTCACCACTGTTGAGCAGTGACCGGTTCGCGCATATTTCTATGCCTGATAGCTATGCTAAGCATAGCGGAGACGCAAGCCGCAACGCACCCGTCACCATTCGATTCGAGCTATATTGTATGCGCACGGTCGTCTGCATAAACGAACATGTGTATTGTTCATATAGAGTGAACGGCGATGCGTCGGTTGCGTTTGCGGCTATGCTTGGCATATCTATGCTACCTAGCGTATTTAGGCAAGCATAGAAATATGCGCGAACCGGTCACTGCTGTTGAGTACACGATTAGAATGAATATTATGTCGCGACGTCGTAAAATCTTCGTTCATTCTCTCGGTATTAATTCCAAATGAACTGCGTTTTTAATGTGCCATAATGCGATTGAATTACGTATTTTCAAAGGTATTTCGGATTTTTCATGCGGCTGTATATTAAAATTCAACAATAAATGGAAGAAACATGCCTTAATTATAATCAAAGCCAACCGTCCACCTGAAAAAATAGCATTAAATTATTATTTTCACATCAAAAGACATGAGTAAAATGAACGCAGCTTCTTAAATAATGAACATTTTAACTTTTTTTTATTTCTCCGATACGTTCTTCAAGGGGAATTTCAAAGAATTGTTTATTAAAATCGGACACAAAATTTAATAAAAGTACACAGACAGAAATATACGTTTAATATGTTTGTTTTCAAAATACGGAATATACATCTCTCTGTGTATATAAATAACATACCGATACAATTACGTGGTCCAATACCAAATGGAATGAATGCTCCCGTTTTGATATTCTTCTTATTTTCATCGTTAAATCTTTCCGGGTCAAATTTTTCGGGATCTGGATATATTCAAAACCATTGTTTTAAAAAATCTTCTCAAACCATAGCTGAAATATTCAACATTCAGTGCAAGCATTAAAGTGGGAAGAAGTCTAATGAGCAATATTCGTAAGATGGAACTCGGTTTGATAAAATTCATCATAGCATTTCCAAATATGTAAAAGTCATTATTGGGATTTTTAAATGAATTAACTTTTACTCCAAATGCGCACGATGTGATAACATCATTTGCAAAACGTGAGAATACCTCCTTCATATTCAGTCGAACCGACTTATTTTGCTTCGATTTTGATTTTAAATCTTCGATCATATCATCGACACATTCCACCACCAGTTCTGACATATGCCGCAATTTTCTACTCGTGAAAATTGGAGTAAGTGATGATCTCATATCACGCCATTTTTTGTCATCCAATGAAATCAAACTTTTTCCCAAAAATGAATCACCTTTTAGTGCAAACATCATCGATTGATTTTCGAAATGACTACTATCTTTGATCGCAATCTTAGAAATGATATTCAAATCACGCAACATATAAGCTGGCGTTCTTCGATTGAAAAATCCAATGATTCTAAAATTCATATTATATGATTTAATACAATTATATATTTAAAATAGGATATAGTATCCTATAGGACATAGTCTTAATATATCTTAACGTACTTTTCATTTGGAAAGCGATGATAAGTCGATTCCAACCATTTTGCAGGATATGATCGAAACAGAAATAAATCCAGCGTATTTCCCACCAAAAAAACTGGTTTCAAATGCAATATATTACGCTTCACGAAATAATCATTGTTTGCAGTTGCCCATTTGTAAAATAAATAGAATAATGAACCGATTAATATCGAAATTAACAACTCTAATTCCATTATTCAATTTCGATTTTTAGATATTCACTTTAAATGTTAAACTGAATCTTCTGAAAGTATCATCGCATAAATATATAACATCAAAATTAAGTTAATTGTACGTAATAAACAAATATCATGATAAGCTAATAATTATAACCATTTTAGTCAATATCGTTATTAAGACAGCACATTCAATTTTTTCCACTCCGATTCAGCGCTTAATGGCATCCAGATACGATAAAACTTCTGGGGTTTAAGATATCTTATTTTATGGTGGCAATAATTGCTATGATTTTATTTTATTTTTTATGGTTATTGAGCAATCTTTTTATGGATATATCATTGAAAAAATTGTATCCATGATTTTTTTCCACTATAAAATCAGGTGTTTTTTATTAGCGACGTGAAATCCGATAATAATTAAATAAAAAACAATTACACCTTCATAATTTCACAGATTGGTTATTTCTCTAATGTTTTTTCCTAATAAAACCGAATTTATTTGGTCGAAACAAACGTGCATTTCGAAATGTTGTCATTTCATCATCAGTATCACGACCATCCCCAAGACATGAAAAAAGTGGCGCCATGCACCTTTAACATGGTGGCGAAAGGACAAACCATCTTGTAAGTGCATGTGCGACCACATATCAAATTTGCGACCACAATGCGATACACGATTTGTTTTATTATTATTTGATTACAAAAATAATGAATTTGAGAAAATGTAAAAAAAAAACAAATCATGTGTCACAGTGTGGTCGCAAAATACGTTGTGTGGTCTTGAATTTTGCCCACATTCATCGCCGCAAAGTGCATTGCGCATTATGTCATAAACTAACAAATGTACTTTCACACGTGGAAGATTGACGAGAGAATGTGTGTGCATGTTGCATGTAAACGCACTCTTACTGGCTCAGCTTATTACCTGAATATAGAACGGGTCTACATAATGTATCCTGATTAACGATGGTAAATGCCAATTATTGGATGTATCCAAACAGATTGTAAAATTAATTTTGTGAATTCGCGACTCTATAGAGTTATTATAATCATTTGAAAAAACTATATCACCAATCATTGAACGGTGGCCCCTGGGCTTGGTTGCTCCAGCTTGGCCCAAGATGAAATGGCTTTTATGCCACTCAAAACCAAACTGAACGATTTTTTAAGCTCAAAAATTACTTTTCGGTCAAAATAAACGCAGACTATAAAAAATATTATGCAAAGGTTTGTTTCATTTTAAAAATAATAAAAACAGCAATTTTTCCCCTTTTTCGGATTCATTTATACAATTGATGATTCATTATCAAAAATGAGAAAGCTGAACTTATTCGAAAATCGATTGATGAACAGATTTTTTTGTCAATTCGAACAACTAAAGAAATAAGAAGTATTTATAATCAAAATGAATTGGAAAACGTTTATTAAACCATGTCATAATATTTGGAAACACATAATGATACGACTATTCGAACATGGACATGCTGCATTTTTTTTATTTGCTCTCAGTATTTCAATTTGTATAACTTTGTAAAGTTTAACTTTGTAGTTATGATGCATAACGAATCATCTCTTCTTTGATTTAATGTCATCTTAATAAACACTGTGTTTATTTATTTGTTTGTGAGAGAGAGTGTGTGTGTGTGTGTGTGTGTGTGTGTATGTGTGTGTGTGAGTGTGTGTATCTCTTTATTTGGAGCCAAAAATTCCTGATATATTCATGTGTGCCTTCCGATGAATTCGATTTCTTAAATATTAAATTACATCTGTTTCATTTCTAATTTAAAATCCTTGTTGAAATTGTTTCGAATCGATTCGGGCTTGTAGCACTTCAAGTTGACGTTTTGCTTCGCATTGAGGAAAATTGTTCATATCATAATATTGTGGAGCGATTTTCAGAAGCCATTCAGCTGTAAGATATGAATATCAAAAACATTTAGTTTCAATTGAAATGTATGGATTGAAATGAAGTTTTTTTGGCTTACGTTTTACATCTGTCACAGTTCGAATGTAATTTTTCGTTGTTAAAACAAATTCATTGTATATAACCCAATCTGGTTTATGATCTAGACAGGTTGACGGATGTAACTGCACCACTTGATTATCTTTAATCGTTAAATAGTGTCCGGTGCGTTCTAAATGGGCAACCTATTTGAGCAAAAAGAAAAACACATAATTGAAATTAGTATATGATTGAGAATCATCGGGCATGCAAATTTGGAATACAGGCCTGCATGAAGAATCCCTGAACTAAGGCCTTTCTGATATTTATGTAATAATCCTTCGATGAGAAATCTGTGCTAGTTCGCTTCAAATTAAAACGATCCATAATACGTGACAATTGTTGACGCACATTGTCGGCCTGCTTCAGCGATCGATAGTTGACGAAATTTTCGTAACACCAATTTGTATCTTCGTTACCTGTAACCAATAATTGTGTTTAGATTAATGAAACCAACGCAACAATAGTTCCAAATCAATCGGAGATAAAATGCAAAATTGTTTACTCTGTTTGAATGCATGGTATACATTTAGCAAAGTCAAGTGGTCACCGTCAATGTGAGCAAAACGCATTTTTGCTTCGTCGGCTTGCTTTTTGACGTCATTCGGTCGAACAAAACATTGAGGTACTGTGAAAAGGTACGAATACTAAGTTTTATTTTATTCAAAATCTCTCTTGAGACCAGCGGCTAGGGCTTTTATCTTCAAATATATACAATTTATAATGCAAATAGTGAACTATATTGCAAAATCATCTGTAATACGTGCAAATAAATGTGCATAACTGCATATATTTGGTGTATATTTCGTGAATATTTCGTCCATGGCATGTTTTTTCATTCTCTTTTGTGCGGATCTTCTTCGATTCTGTGTAGCTATTCTGTGTGTTTGCTACACTGCAGTTTAAAAACCACATTATTCACTGGTATAGGCAAGAAATTTTAATCGTATATATGATGAATAGGACGTGAATATTGTGTATAAATTTGTATGAACGACTGATGGAAGCCCCTAGACCAGCGGCCGATCGCGGTTCAATTTAAAGAAAAACTCACCCGACAACATGGCTGTAATAGATAGAATTTCGTTTGAACAATTGTGATTACAGCTGGCAATGAGCATTTTAGCTAACTGTGGATCCAGCGGAAATTCAGCCATTACAGCGCCCAAGTCTGTCAAATTGCCATCGTCGTCAAGTGCAGCTAAATAATTCAATAGCTCAAGTGCACGCATCAGTGTCTCTGGTGCCGGTGGGTCCATAAAATCGAAATGCACCAAATCATCAATGCCCAATTTTTTCAGTTGTAACACAACAGTTCCTGCGAAAAAGAATTTATGTGAAATTAACTTCATGATCATTCAATTAAGCAAAAATTTCATCAAATTTACCTAAGTTTGAACGTAAAATTTCCGGGTATGTGTTGCTCTGCATTTCATTTTTGTACGCTTTTTCTGTATAAAGTCTGAAACATTTTCCTGGTTTTGTACGTCCTGCTCGACCAGCACGCTGTTGTGCCGATGCTTTGCTAATCGGTGAAACTAATAAACTTTCGACACGAATTCTTGGATTGTAGACTTTTTGTTTAGCAAAACCCGGATCAATGACAAACACCACACCATCAATGGTCAACGATGTTTCAGCAATATTTGTCGATACAACAACTTTTCGGCCAATTGCACCGTTCGCTTTGTTTGGTGGTGGTGGTTCGAAAATTCTTTGCTGTAGATTTGGCGGCAATGTCGAATACAATGGTATACATTTCAATTCGCCTAATTCCGGTCCCAAATTATCGATTTCACGTTTGATTCGTTTACATGCCTCTTCAATTTCTTCTTGTCCCGTCAAAAACATCAAAATATCACCCTCAATCAATTCGCACATATGAATTTGAATAACTGTTCGAATAGCCGCTTCCAAATAATCACGTTCCGGTTCGGGTGTATAAAAAATTTCGACCGGATGCGTTCGACCCGGTACATTCATCAATGGTGCATTATCAAAATACTGTTGAAATTTACCGGCATCCAAAGTGGCAGACATAACCACCAATTTCAAATCATTTCGCTGTCGAATCACCTCTTTCAGTACGCCCATCAAAATGTCAGTGGCCAATGTACGTTCGTGAGCCTCATCGAGTAAAATCACTTGATATCCGTCCAATGTTGGATCACTCATTGCTTCACGCAATAACATACCGTCTGTCATGTATTTGAGTACGGTTGATGGTGATGAACAATCCTCGAAACGGATACTATAACCAACTTCTTGACCCAATATCACATCCATTTCTTCCGAAACACGCTGGGCCACTGACATAGCAGCCACTCGACGTGGTTGAGTACATGAAACTCCCTTTGAACCAATTGAACGAGCATATTCGACACACCATTGTGGAATTTGGGTTGTTTTACCACTTCCAGTCTGAAAAATAGAAAAAAAAATCAAAACAAAATTGATTTTATTTGATTGAAATTGGAAACTAGTTCGATGTATGCGCATACCTCTCCCACAAGCACTATGCATTGATTTTCGGCTAACAACCGCATAAAATCGGCACGATATTCAAACACTGGCAATGTTATACGCTTTCGATATAGAGTGTAGTATCGTTGCGAATAAGCTTGATTGTTCAATGGATTCACTGAATTTTGACGCGATGTTGCTGTGGTGGCTGCTATCGCAGTGCCACTTTGTAAAAGATTTGACGTTGTTGCTGGTTGAGCGGTCGATGCTGTCGTTGCACTCGAATCAACTGGAATGCCTTTTTCTTCACTGAATATCGAAACAAAAAGAAACGATTCGATAAATGTTTTAGTTTAATTTTTGAAAAACAAACAAAAGAAAACGTTGTACGTTGCTAAGACGAGAAAAAACCCTTACCGCCGTTTCTTAATGAATGGATCCATCTCAATGCGTCTTTTTGACATTATGTGTACAATTCTAAATAGTTTTCACTCTTCTAATTTATATTCAACTACTTTGATCCAATCAGTAGTTAGCTCGCTTTCCCAAAAAAAAATGATTCTTTAAGATACAATTAAACAATAAACAAATTTGATGGTTTTCGTTATTTTTATGAATGACTCTCAACACAAAAACACGTTTCGTTCGAAAACGTCTCCCGACACAAACTAAACGTTTCACTATAAAATCGAGCGATGTAATATGAAGGGACACCACTTCGAAAATTTCAATTTGTATACAATTCTAATGCAATCAATGTTCCATTCAGCGAGCCACTGTGTGCGATTCTTTTTTTCTCTCGCTTTATTTAAAATAATTGTTTGTAGTCAGTTTTTCGTTCAGTAAGTGTAATTAATGAAAGATGAAGCATTTTATTTATTTTGTACTTTTCGCCGCGTGAGTATGTGGTGAAAAAATAAAATGTCAAAAAAAACAGAGACAAATATATTGGCTGCCATTTCAAAGGCTTGATTTTTTTTCATGTGATGATCATAATTTTTTCTGGTGAAATTCATGAAAAATGCTTTGCACAAAATGTGTATTTATGGTGACATTTTTCTTGAGCAATTTTCTAGTTTTCATGAAGCCAATTTTATTTCATAATAACGCAAAATGAGAATGAAACATAAATCCAAACATATGCCCGTTCGCCATGAAAATGTAATTCGGTTTGCCATAGGCAACATACCGAATTCGCCGTCATTCTCAATGCAAATGAAACAAAACAATTTAATGACGTTAATTTTAATATTAGAATTTTTTTAGCGGCGCATTTTTACAATTTTTCAATTAAAATATTCATATGAGGATGACCTGTTCAATTGAAAAATATTTTTATAACATTCACGAACTGAAAGTTTTATTTTTACTTTAAATAAGCACGAAAAGCGACAAAACCTTTAAAAGCGCATGGCTTCCGAACGGGCAATACTAATATTTTGAATTTATTAGGTTTTATGCCTGTGTAATGTGAAGCAAGTTTGAAATGTCTTACCTTTGACGATTTTCTCTTCTTTTTTTTTTTCAAAAGAACGCTTTTTTTGCAGAAATGATAATCTTCTAAATTTCAAAAAACGCTTTTGGGTAGAAAAATTCCATTTCGAGAGGAAGAATTTTTTTCAGCTAATTTTTTGTTATATTGTTTTGGGTTGTTGAATCTGTCCAAAATAATTAGATTTTGTGTGTTTGTCTTTAAGTTCCGCTTTAAAATTCACATTTATTTGTATGTCTAACACAATAAATTTTCATCATCATCATTTGTTTTTTTTTATATTTTTTAAATTTTATTTTGTATAATTTTTCAGTTTTGAAATCGAATTTGACCACATTAAAATCGATTTGTGTTGATTGTTGCACTTGAATTAAATGAATTCAAATGTTGCGATGAGATAATTTCCGATTTGACGCAACACATGCTACTAATAATTTAAATAAATTTGCCATTTACTGGCCATCATTTTATTCATTTAAAATGTTTATGTGTTTTTTTCTTCTGTTTTCTGTTTAAACAGCGGTAAATCATCTTTGTTTGAAATTCATGTTTTGCGTATAATGAGTTTCTTGTAGCTTGCTTTTGAGGGAAAAAATTGTTTTTTTTTTTGGGGCAGAAAGTGGTGCGTATTATTGTAATCTCACTTACATATCACTACTACTTTGAACAGAGAAGAGAAAACGGACTCTGAATTATATCGCAAACTATTAACACATTCGATTACACTTTGTTTGTTTGATAACCTACAATGCAATGTATCCTTTTGTATTCTATTCTAAAAAATATGTGTATATAGTTGTCAGTGCTGCTTTGTTTTCCATTCTGTATCTTTTCATTTTTCTCATTTAAAAATTAGTTGTTCTGTGTTTGTCTGTGTAAGTTTTGGTGATAAATTCACAATTAATTCGACTTATGCTGATTATTTTGGTGAGCCTGTGTGTCTGTGTGTGTGCATGTCGGTGCATATTTTCCATTTTATTCCATTTATGATAAAAATGATATCTTGCGATTTTAATACAAATTTCATTCGAAAAATGAAGACAATAATGTTATAATTTAAAAGCATAAATAAATAAAAACCTGGAATTATGAGAAAATATGTACGCCATACAATTTTCTGTCTATTTTAAAATTGTTAACGGTTCGATTATCATATCACTTTACTAATTTTTTCCGTTGTCATTGCAATCCCACTTCTCACTTCGCCCTCGAAATTTTTCTTTATCTCTACCTAACCTCAATTCTGTGATACATACATGGTGATCTATCTTCTTTTTAAGAATAAAAAATACATGCGAACATTATTACTCTATAAAAAAAATCTTATTTAAAACGTAAAAAATAAAAAATAAAAATCAGCGTGTGTCATAATAAAAAAAATAATTAAAAAAAATAAAAAGGAAATAAATTTCATCTTGTTTTTCTTTTTTGAAAAAAAAAATATACATTTTGTTTGCTTGTTCTTCGATTAAACAAACAAAAACTCACTTCACGCTAATTTTTTTTTCTTTCTTTCTTGCTGGCTTTTCACTAGTTTATATCGAATTTTATTCCATGTGTATTTCGAACACACATTATCGTTATTTGCATAGTAAACATCAATTTACATTTTTTATTGTACTTTCAATAGAATCATTTTGTTTCAAAAGCAGCTATGTAAAAAAAGTAACATTTTCTTTTATGATTGAAAAAAAAAAAAACAAAAACAAAAATTTATAAGAAAATCTTCGGCATTATACTGCGATTAACAGTAAGAATATACTTTGAAATTGAGAATTGAAAAAGGGGAAAAGGTGATTTGAATGAATCTCTCGCATATGGTGCACATTTATGCATATTGCATTCGAACAAAAAAAATTTCATGTGATTATTTGAGCAGAATTATACAATAAAATTCGAATGCAAACAAAGCAAATTTTTTACACAATTATTTCTCGAGAGATTTATCTGTTGCACCCCGTTTAGTAAACAGAAATTCATCATTTCCACGTTTATAAGTAGATTTACGCGTCATTTCATATTTCATATCAGATGGCGTTCATAATTTTTTGTTTTTTGTCATTATTTCAATTCTATTCAAATATATATATTCAACTGTCGTCATCATTTTTGTTTTTTACAATATTTAAAGATCCTGAAAATGAAATGTTGTTGTTATTTCTCTATTTTCTTTTGTTGTTGTTGTGTGACTTGAACGTGTTTTTTATTTAATTTTGAATTGGTTTTAATACCGTTTTGAATTATTTTCAACATTACAATTGCTTTGATTTGTAATCATTTTTGTCTGTTTAGTTGTTGTTGTTGTTTTAGATTCAGTTCGTAAAATTTGAAGAAAATAAAAATATCTTTATATAGAGACAAAAAAATGAATAATTAATAATAATAATAATAATAATAATATGTTCAACTGTAATGTTGTTTTGATTCAGTGGTTCGTGTTCTATGTTTCACCATTGCCGCTGTCATCACCATCAGCATACTCGGACGCATTGGACTCTTGGTCATCATCATCATCATCTGTATCGAGATCATAATCTTCGTCATAGAAATCAGTCATGTCCAACTGTGAAAGCGAACAAACAAGAAATGCAAAATGTATCAGTTAATTATCGGGATACTGGATTTGTTTGATTGAATAATACTCACCGGTGGATCTTGATTACTTGGCTTACTTTTTGGTTTTATACAATAATCCTCTAAAGTCAGTGGAACTACAATGCCTTCTTTTTCAGCTTCAGCTTTAGCTGCGAGGGCTTGTTTTCTGTGTAGCATAAAAATAAATAGCAACATTAACATTGTGTAAGCACAACCAGTCTATTTGAATTAATGGACAATTTCATTTATAATTCAAATCAAATCACATCAATGATTTTACGGGAAAAAAGAAGAATTTCAGCCCATCAGACAGTGAAATTAAAATTAGTTATCAAGGGCGTCAACGTTAGACGTCTCTTTAAATTTGAAATGATTGTTTTTATCACTGTCATGGCCCATTTGCCGACGGCTAGACGTACGTATGGATAATTTAAATGCCTTCCATCATTTTTTTTTGTCACATTTGATATGTGTATCGCTGTGATACTTACCTTATGATATTTGGATATTCATTATCCTTGCCATGCGAATCACGCCATCTGCGGTACATAACCGAAGCATCAACGTTGGCAGGCGAATATGTGTTTGGCTCATTTAGCAGGGAAATCACTGACAATAAAATTGTACGAACATTTTGTGTTGGATTCCATCTTTCGCATGGCAATTCACCACTTTGTGGATCATCCACCGGTGGGTGCAATATTGAGATACACAGATCACCATTCTAGAATTGAATCGAAGAAAATAAAATGAGTTAGATTGCATATAAAAAAATGTATAAAAGGACCAAGTGATATTAAATCTTTGTTTGAACTCTTTTATAAGAAACCCCGATTTATTTTATTCAGAAAATTTGAACGTCGAATCGAATTCATCAATTGTCAAGTACTTGAAGTACATCTAATCTATCAATTTGATACGAACTACGGAACAGTAAATTAATAATGACATCACAAACAATGCGGTAGCGCGTATATATATCCGTATCGTTTGTTATATTTGTATATGGTCACCATATATGTATAACGCGTTGACCATGATTTTATTTTTGCAAACACTTTGGATATTAACATTCGTTAACATTTTTCTCTTTTTTTATAATTATTCGTACGGTTGAACGAATCGAGTTGGGCGCCTCTATGCATATATGTGCAATACATACAGTCTCCATTCATGTGTACAATTTCAATTCCAATGGTTTATTATACAATTTATACGGAATAAATGTACTACATTTTATAAATATATATAAAAGTGTGTGCGTTTCATGCCTATTTCTCATTTCGGTTCGAAACATTTGATTTCAACGTGTTCCTAGAAATCTATATTCGTCTAGACGCCTGATAGGCTGAACGATGTTGCTATATGCGATTTACTTTGATTCCAAAAAGCCATATACATGTATAAATTACACAAAAAAAAGTAATTCACCGCTGCACGGCTTTTAGTGAAAGAGAGTGAGAGAGAGATCGGAAGCAAATGAAAAGGTTATTCAACATATGGTGTGATAAGCTGTTTTTTTTCTTCTTCTTTCATTTGGAAACTTTCTTTTTTTTTTCTCTTACGACTTGCATATAAATTACATTCAATATACTTACTTCATAGACATTTGGATGCCAAACTTTTGTCAAAAAGCGTATTGATGGTGGTGAATACGGGTAGTCCAATGGAAATTTCATTTGTGCCTGTCAAAGAAAAAAATTACTCAACATTAATTATTTTTCGTGAACAATTTACATGTAAAAATGCTTGAATGTTGCTCGGACATCTCTCGTTCAGTTGAAAACAATTGAAATTATTTTCATTAAAAAAAAACAATTGAATATATTTTTTGGTAATTAAAGCCCATACCAAATTGAACAATTTGACTTTGAAGTTTGAAATTGTATTTATTTAACATTTCATGTCAAAACATTGGAACATTGAAAGCTTGACACAGACGAATCTCATTGTTGGTGCGTTTTTTCATGCTATATGTTTTTTTTGGCAAAAAGAACGTATCGTTTGACTCAATGCAGCTTTGACATTGATACGGGCTTTTCCATGGCTGACAAAATCATAATGGTATGTCTTCAATCACATATGTGTTTGAATCACATTTAAAAACAAAACACGTTCGAACCGCGTTATATAATTGAATAGAATCGTCGAAATTGCGAAGAGAACAAATCGAATTGTCGTCAATAGTCTCATGCTAGGGGGAGATTGCGAAACAACTTCGAAAAAGAATATAAACAAATATATACGAATATGCCACGAATATGCCACCAATATATTCCAATATACTCAACAAAATACTTTAGCTATTAGAGTATTACTCTAGTTACTTAAACGACTCATTGTAAAAATATTATTGAAAAGAAAATGTTTTAATGAAAAACCAAAAAAAATGGTTTTTTCTTAATTTGTATAATTAAAAAAAATGTTTTATTTTAGTTTTTTATTTTTTATTGTGTGTTTTATTTATTTATTCATCCGTGGATTATGTACATCAAACTCATTTTGAACAATAAGTTCATTGTGCAAGAGTACTAGATTTGTACTAAAACTAGTACTAAAATCTAGTACCAAATATCAACGAAAATTTTATACTTGACATAACCTCTTTTTTGACCACATTTATTCTAGTAAATTTTTTTAAATATTCTAAGTTTTAAATAAAATATTTTTAAAATATGTGAAAAGAAGCAAACTTACCATGTTGAGACGCTTCAAATATATGTCAAGTATAAAATTTTCGTTGATATTTGGTACTAGATTTTAGTACAAATCTAGTACTCTTGCACAATGAACTTATTGTTCAAAATTAGTTTAATGTACATAATCCACGGATAAATAAATAAATAAATAAAACACACATTAAAAAATAAAAAACTAAAATAAAACATTTTTTTTTTTATTATACAAATCAAGAAAAAACCATTTTTTCAGTTTTTCATTAAAACATTTTCTTTTCAATAATATATATTTTTACAATTTGTACTCTGGCAAGTACTTGTACTTTAGCAAATACTTGTACTTATATAATATATTGGAATATATTGGTGGCATATTTGAAAAAAGTGGTTTCATATTCGTATACGAATATAAACCAATGTGTCGCAAATATTTGTCAATAAATTGCGACTATATGCACGCAATATCCCCCTAGGTCTCATGCCATGGCAGAAATACTTCTCGCAAATGATTAATTATATTAAAAGTCATTAAATGATAAATTGAAAAAAAAATTAACCGAAAGCCACATAATACAAGAATCATTAAGTGACTGGTCATTTTGATTGGCAAATGTGTGGTGTATTTTGTTTTGTTTGTCATGTTTGTGGCGTAGGTGTGCAGGTTTTGTGAAATCGGCTTATTGATAACAGTTTGTTTTCACATAATCTTCAAATTAGAATTTGTGCTCAGCGAAAATTGTGCGCACCAAACCAATTTTCTACCATTCATCGAATGGCTATGTCTTGTTTGGAAATGTACAACAAAATCGATAAATAAAACTAATACGAAATTTTTGCATTGAGTCACATTTCAGTTGCGCATACAAAATCGAATTCGAAAATTTAAACGAAATCAGATTCATTAATTTTTGTCCGTATTCAGCGAAAAAGCACGCACATACAACAAATGGGGGTCCATTAAAATTATTTTATTTGAAAATGAACATACAAAATTGAGGTATAATTTGCATTGCATTGCTAGCAAGCACTTGACAAATAATAATAAATGGCAATCGTAACAAATGGATTTCCTATTCCAACGACCAGGCAAACATCGTCTCGATAAAATTAACATGAATAAAAGTGTTTATTCTTTCTGATATATGCAAACGGGTTTGTGTGTCGCATAAATATTCAAGCCGATAACAATACAGAAAAAAACAGATCCATTTGAAAGAGACAAACAAAACGACATTTACTAGAAGACGATAAATTGAATCGAAAACAAATCTGAGGTCTCCAATATGTGTATTACGTTTATGAAAACATCTGTATAATGTGCGATACAGTTTTTTTTCGTTTCGTTTGTTTTCATTTCAATGCATCCTTCTCTCTCTATCTTCGCCGTACTGTCCTGCCAAAAATTTGGCATCTCGGTTATGCCTGATTGGCAAAAACAAATTTTTGCTCAATTGCGGTTGTGTTTCTCTCGGTGTAGGTTTTATTTTTTTTTATTCTCGATGAGAGCTATGTGCGCATTTCCCTGGATAAATTTATTCATTAAATAGTGCAGCGCATAAACGACTGTAAATTTCATTGAATATTTGTTGTGTCATTGGCCAGAATGAATAAGCCAGAAATAGGAAACGGAACGGTTGAAAAGGTCTTATGATTCAATATTGCTCTCTCATCGCGCTCAACCTACTTGAAATGAATAACTCTTCTCACTACGTGTGCTTTGTGTACATATTCTGCATCATCACTGTTTTTTTAATATTCATTTTATTATTTAAAATGAAACAAGAACAAAAAGATTCAGAGGATAGATTCATTTAGACAGAATAAATGGAAGTATACGACACAATACGGATATATCAAGAATTAAATTAAAGGAGTTTCTCCTTTTTCTCTGTTCTCAACAACTTTTCGAGTTGTTTCATTTTTTGATTTGAATGCTTGAAACTAAAACGTCATCAAGAGATAGATATTTGAAGAGCCAGTTCCACACCGATTCGCTAACGTTTCTTTTTTTATCATCAGTCATCATTATTATCATAGTCATCGTTGTTTTGTTTACTGAATATTTGACAATTGACCAAGTCTATATTGCAGTGCGCGCGCGTCTCGACTGGCGACTTAAATCGAAAGTTTAGCCCGAACTATTGAACGGTCGTTTTTTCTTCTTTGTTTATGACCACTTGCATAAGCATCTCTTCTTGTAAATGTTTCATTGTGATTGTTGTTGTCACTGTCACTGTTTATCTGCCTCCAAAAGTTCAATTCAACATTTCGTTTTGTGTCTCTATATGAAAGGATTTTGTTTATATAATAAAATATAATGAAGAGAGAATCAAATCGTTCACTTACAAGGTCATCATCGCAAAAAAAACCTTGTACATTTTCTTTGAATCGAATATATTTGTTGTATATATACAAAAGCCACTCTCGTTCGCCCGAGTAGTGAGAGGGAGCTTCTATCTCAATCAATTTGAGACACACACGTTGAATGTTTAGAGTGAGCATGTGTACGTACACATCAACGTCATGCCACACACATGAGAAAGATTGCGAGTGAGTGACAACCATATTATGCATCGCATCTCCTTTGTGTTTCGAGGGAGTCTCATATAGCTTTTTGTGTAAACACCAATTTTGCAGCATGCTATATGCATATAGAATAATTTTTTTTTTTGATATCGACAATGAACGCTCATAGCAACCGACAGTACCTTTCATATATGCTCTCTTTCTATCTGGGCTTCAATGTGATATATACACACAGTTTCAACAACTGAGCACATTGAACTAAACTGAGTTTAGTGACTATGATATGTTGAAAATGACTGCTTAACAACGGATGGAACTAATGAAAAATGAGAAAATTACCACCTCGTTCATAGAATTCCGTACTTGTTTTATAGCAGCATAGAAACAAAAAAAATAAGGTGTATTCTATTCTTTTAATTGATGCGAAACCCTGCGTTTGCTTTTATTTCATTGAATCTTTGTATTGAATATCACGTGTTTTGCATTCACATAGAAAAATCCTGTTTTCTTTTGAAAAACACACTCGCTTGCTTTGTATGTTTACATTTTGTTTACACTTCATGAAATTCAACAGTATTTTAACGAATTGGTATTCAATATGAGGAGAGAGAGAAAAAAAAGCATTGATAATATTTATAGCACTTTTCAATCAGTCAGAAGAAATGTGTCCCTGAAAATGAAGAGAGAGAAAACCGAAATAAATTCGCTCTTCTTGCAAACTTGATGTTTTTGCGTCGAGAATTTTCATGTGAGAAAGAGTCTCAAGATTCATTGTTTATACTATGACGATGATGATGGTGCAGTAGTCACGGTCACGTTACTGCTCTGATTTTTTTCCCTTGTTCATTTCTCTGTCACGTTAACTAGTAAACAAGCCAACCAAAGTGCGCATCAATCGATGCAGAGCAAACGGTATGCAAACAAAGAAGTCTATTTTCGTTTTTGAATCGAAAATATATGTTTTGTTGGTTGTTTTTTTTTTGCTTCTCATTTTCCTCCTCACTATTTCACTTTAACTGTTATTGCTTTTGATGAAGCTGAGATAGTCTATATGTTCGAGTTAGTTTTCTTCTCAGGCTCTGAGAGAATCAAGTGCATGTGAATCGAATTAATTGAAAGAAGTCAGAAATGAGTTCGTTTGTTGGTGGATTCTTCTGCATTTTGAGGTGGAGACATATAAGTTAAACAAACGGAAATCTGATCTATTTATTAAAGGCAAGATGGATGTCAATAGCTTGAATAGGATGTGTGTGTGTGTGTTTGGAAAGTACGTGATTGAAGTTGATGAACTGCCGTAAAAATCACCATTGATGACGTTGATGATTCAACGATGGATGACACACACGAATATGATCCCTTGTTTGTTATTTTGCGCGTCCTACTTATGTATGCAATTTGAATGAATTTCAGGTCACCAAATGTTCTCATATTTGTCTGTATGCGAACCAAAGAATGTATATACATTTCACTCAATACCACCTTTCGAAGTAATGGGAAAATACGAAAGAAGAGAGCAATAATATTCTGAAGTAAGAATAAGAGGTATAAAAAATGGCACAGATACATTCACAAAAGCAAACGAAATTCCATAAAGAATACGCTCTCATTCTTTCTTTCGTACAGATACAGCGGTAGCAATAACAACCGCAGAAACAAAAATAAAAAATGAAGTATAAAAAAACACATCGTTAAAACATAACGTCAATCGTGACAAATCATCATCCTACTCTAACAATTGATTCGTGAACATTATATTTCGATGATTTGAGAAAAAACACGTGTATAAATATGCGCGCTTGCTTTTACCTCTTTTTCTCACATCCAAAACGTATAAAATTCAAGTAAAAACGGGCGAGAGAGAGAGATAGAGAGCAAAACGCATGTATTTGGATGCTTTGGGTGACCTCTGACTTAAAATGTGAAACAAAACTTATGTTGTAACACAAAAAAAAAACTACGGTGAAACAATGGATTTGGATACTTACTTTGAAATAACCACCTTGATATAATGTGTCTGGTGGACCGAATATAGCTACTTCCCATTCGAAGAGATTGTCATCGTTGAGTAATTTGACACGAAATCCTTCGACGGGCTCCTCTTGCAAACTTTTATATTCTAGAGCTAGTGCACGAACGGCTGAACTACTTGGTGTTGACATTTTCGAATAATCAATTGTTCTTTTGTGTTTTTATCTACTCAATTTAAATACTAAATGTATTTTATAAAAGTCCTGTTATTGAATCCGACTGACGATGCTGCGACGAATCTTTTTTTTCTTCTTCTTGTTGTTTCGTTCTTCTTTTCGTTTGTCTTTCTTATGTTGGTTTTTCTTTAAAAAAAATTTCTCTTTCTTACTGCCAGAATAGTTGCTTCGTTACTCAGTCGTTTTATTCACTTTTGATCGCAGGTGAAATCAACGAAATGTTGTTGTTTTTTTAACACAATGAACTGGATAAATTCAAACACAATTTCAAATTTTCTTATTCTCTCAAAATTATACACTGAGTTAAATAGGCTGGCTGCTTGAAATATTTTTTTTTGTAGAACCAGGTAGAAAAAAGCAAATTTTTTTTATTTAAATAATTGAAATAAGTTGCCTTCACAACCCGATTATGATAAGAATCTTTGATTTGAAATGATTATTGATGAATTTCTATTTCGAAAAAATGTTTTCTTTTCGACCATGTGATTGTTTTTATAAATTTTAAGCGATAATCACTTCAAAAAAGAAGAAGATTTAGTCCGAAATGCAGAAAAATCGAGTTCGAATGATTTATAAAAAATAAATTAAACAAAAAATATGAAACGACTAATTTTTTGGAAAGTGCGCACTACCGAAACGAAATATAAAATAAAATACACACAGCACAGTGAACTTTTTTGTTTGAAAATCGTTTCGAATTTTCTTTCGGTGTCTATATGTACTATTAAATGGTGTTTTTTTTTATTTTATATGAAAATTCACAAGAAATGTTTGTTTCTTCTCGTTTTCGTTTCGTCGTTTTTATTTATTGTGATGAAGAGAATAATAAAAGCACACACGATGTGAAGTGTTCATAATAAAAATAAAAATGGCGGCTGGCTAAAACGTAAATACGCCAATAAAGCGAGAACTTGAAATCATTGTCATTTTTTTATGTTTCTCTCACGCTTGCCACCGCTCTTGCGTTACTTCGATTCTTTTATTCACTCTTTCCCTGTCTATGTTGGTTATGTGTGTGCACTGCACTGTACGTGTCTGGCCTCACGAATTTCGAATCAAAATATTTTTATTTTATTTAAATTAGATATTGGTTGTTTTTTTATTCAATTCGTCGATTTTTAGCTGAATGTTAGATTTAGTTGCTTAGAAAATACTCCTTTTTCTTTGAAAAACAGAAAAAATACCTCACTAATCATCGAAATCGTATGCAATGTTGTGTGATGTCTACCACAAACTGAGCTGAAATCCATTAGCAACTCAACAGCAACAGCTGTTCAATAATGTTTATAGTGTGCGTATGTGAAAGGCTAATGTGATTGTATTTGTTTGAGGTAGATGCGTTTTTCTGTTGCCACTGAACCAACTTCACACTAAAGTTTTCAAAGTTTTTTTTTAGACATTCAATTGAATACAGAATTAACCATAGTCTTAAAGCATTCCATAATTTTTTTTCTATTTTCATTTTTTTTAAAAACAATTTTGGTTCATCAAAATTGAATGCGATGAAATTTTTTTGATTTTTGCATAACAAACATTTCAATTTGATAACAAACTGACCATGACATTTGAATCAACTTCATGTCGTTGAAATACAATCACATATATTTCTATCAAATGACGATCATCAACTAAAACAGTCTCATAGAGTCTAAGCAGTGAGCAGAAGCGGTTTGCAAGGAAATCCAATAACATAACACATCTGTAAATTGATTTCATTCAAAAGTAAATATTTCGCCTAATTTTTGATTTGATTGCATTTGAAATAAGTTTTATTTTCGATTTTATGTGATATCAATAAATTGCGCACAATGTTGTATTTTACTTCATGTTTTTTTTCACACTAACACGATAAATTTCGATTCTAATTGCTAAAGGAATGCTTTTTAATCCATTTGTATACATGCTTATGACCATTTCATATAGCAAAATTCGGATTCCGTCATCAAACAAAATTTGCATATCGATTTTTATCCAAAAAAAAATTGGGCAATATGCTTATAGTTAATCATATGTTTTTTCATCACATGATAATTTACACTTCTTCTTTGAATTGTATAATGTACATTTTTATGAATTTCCCTTGAAATTGCTTCATGTCTTTACAACTTTGTTATTATTTAAAAAAAAAAATTAGATTATTCAGCTCATCACTAATAAATAACGGTAATATGGAAAGAAAATATATATTGCGATAATCTACGTGTTAAACATTATTGTTCTACAAATGTAAATGGCATGTGCGAACAAATTGTTACTCATTCATCAGTGATTTGTTAAAATAATACGTGTGTTGGCAAAATTGCGTAAATATTCAAAACATGACATAAATAACAAAACAAAATATTGCTTCAATTGTTTCATTATTCCAAAATCGAATAGAATTTCCAGTTATGAAAAAAGCTCGATACCATTGTAACTTTCTCGTCGATGCATGATTAAATCAATTTCCAATGGAGAATGAAAAAAACAAAAGAGAGAAGAAATCGGAACGAAGAACATGTTTCTTAGCGGAACGTTGCATAAAAAAAAGTATTATGATTGTTGATCTCATTCACGTAGTACGCAGCTATTAACAAACTTGATCGTAGTAAACTATTGCATATAATCGAAACGCTTCAATTGTTTTCCAAAATCGTAAGAGGTGCCACTTCATAAGATAATAATCAATAGCGAGACAATTTCATAAATTTTTTAAATGACAACCGTGTTTTTTATGCGTTAGTATTAATCAATGTCCATGATCATACTTAATTTTTAATTTTTTAACAAATAATTTTTGCTGTATTGTCAAAAACTTAAACACAGTGCGGATCGTTTTGTATGGATACATAGACACATCAGATGAAAACAGAAGGCAACTTTGTCGAGACATTGAAAAATTGAATTGGCTACATTCGAAATGTAGTTCACAAAATACTGCCGAGCATGGCACCGAATATTATCTCTATACTGCTGAATAAAAGCTCTCTGACGAACCTGTTGGTCTAATATATTGCGAAAATTATTGAGAAGCCAAGGATAATTGTTCAAATAATGCTGAAAGCGGATTTGCTGCACAAGAGAATTGTCAAATTGAGCCATGTAGTGTTCAATGAAGATCTCTAATACAGTAGCTTTTTTATATGAAATCTGTCACACTAACGCCCTCACTCTATCGTTTGGCGAACTAAACAGAATAAAGTTTAATATAAAAGTAAAGTCTCCATCAGGATATTTTATACAGCCGGTGTCAAGATCAATAAAACTGTTAATAGAATCTGCCATTTTCACGCAATTTTGCGATGTGATTGCCAGATTAAGAATATAAATAAAATAAATGAACGGAATAAACGAACTTAACAGAACAGAATAATTCGCACGAGTGTATGACAAGTATGTAAGAGAACAATAACATTACGTTTTGTATCTATCTGTCAAATGTCACACTCACACTTATGAGTTTACGTATGGAGATTTTAACAAAATCATTTCTACAAGATCTACACACTCTACACCCGAGGCTTTTTAAGTTAAATTAAAACGCATATAAATTTATGTTTTTTTTAAATAGAAATTATCTATTGCTAATTGTGCTAACTTCACTTTCAAAACAAAAAAATGAAACAATTTATTAAATTATTTTTCAACAATTTTTGGAATAACATATGCGCTCATTCTCAAACTTGTGAAATAATATCCCATTCTATATATAGATGGCACTGTCTATACGAAGTTCGGCAAACAAAGCATTACGCTTATTGAGCGCATTACACCTCTTGTTCAATGTCTCGACAAAGTTGCCTTCTGCTTTCGTCTGAAGTGTCTATGTATCCATAAAAAACGATCGGCGCACTGCGTTTAGGTTTTTGACAATACAGCAAAAATTATTTGTTAAAAAATTAAGTATAATCATGGACATTGATTAATACCAGTGATGGTTTTTTCCTATCTAAATAGCGCTAGCTATTCGCAGCATCTATATAGCATTGCTGCCCAGATGCTGAATTGAAGCGGTTGCGCTATTCAGACAGGAAAAAACCATCACTGAAAAAAATTCCATTAATCAAAGAACACTAAGAATACAATGCCAAAATTTTGAAGTGGTTTTAACAAGATAATCCTAGAAATTGAGTGTAGAGTACATATGGTAATTATATCGTACTACTAGAAAGCTAACATGTGTCGAACATTAACTCTGGCATTTACATCATTTATTATTATTTGTTTTTATGAGAGACCTTTTTCCTCATCGTTTTTTTTTCCACTCTAATTACACAGTTTGATCTAGATTTTAATCGACTTGTGTGAAAATGGCCAAATTAGATGAACGAATTGGGTTCCTTGGTGGTGGCAATATGGCTTTTGCAATCGGTTACGGTTTAATAAATCGAGGTATTTGATTTTTAAAAGAGAAAATTCTGTTTAAAATTAAACCGCAGAAAAACTAAATCTAGTTTTTTGTTTCACTTAGGAATAATTAAACCGGCCCAAGTTGTGGTGAGCGGACCAAATTTAAGTAATTTGGAGAGATGGCGTCTTTTGGGTGCAAACATTACCGAAGACAATGGCGTTACGGTAACGAAATGCGACATTATTTTTATCTGTGTCAAGCCACACTTATTGCATACATGTGCAAGTCAAGTGGAAGGAAGCATTGATCGTGTTGTTTGTGATAAGGACAAACTGTTTGTATCCGTTTTAGCCGGTATTTCACTTGATCAATTGGAATTGGTAAGACTGCTTCATTTTTTATGCAAATTGTGAACATAAAATTGAATATATTTTTTGATTATGATTTGCAGGCCTTCAGTTTTATGAACAATTTGAAAATAATTCGTTCAATGCCGAATACACCGATGCAAGTTGGTGAAGGATGCACCGTTTATACACCCGGTCGTTATGTAACCACACAAGATCTGGAAAAAACTCATTTAATATTGAACTCATTGGGCATTGCTCAGCAAGTACCTGAAAAATGGATCAATGCCGTTGCAGGTGAAATCAATGACTTTTTCTTTTAAACAAAATCAACTGAAGAAATTTATTCAATTTTCTTATTCTGCCACAACAGCAATGGCAGGAAGCGGACCGGCCTATGTAAGTTTATGATTTTTTCTGACAATTGAAATAAATACAAAAAATTTCAAATCCATTCGATAAAGGTGTTTACGGTCATCGAAGCGATGGCAGATGGTGCTGTTAAACAAGGTATACCACGTCAAATGGCACTTCAATTTGCAGCCCAAACTGTGTTGGGCTCTGCCAAAACTGTCATACAAACTGAAAAGCATCCGGCGGTGTTGCGTGATGAGGTAAGAGATCCGAATTTATGCGGAAAATTTGATTAACATTAACACGTATTTTATTCATGAATAGGTATGCAGCCCGGGTGGCTCCACAATAGTTGGCATGCATGAGCTCGAAAAAATTGGTATCCGGAATGCCTTTATTAATGCTATCGAAAAAGCGGCTGAAAGAAACCAAGAATTGGGAAATTTCAAAAAGTAACACTTTTATGATCTGTTGTCGTTCTCGAATATTTATTGTTGACATGTGAAAATATTCTAAATAAAAACATAAAACTAACAATATTCAAAGAAATCGAAAACTTTCAATTCTAACTCTAAATCTCTAATGCCTTCTTGTTCTTTTGATCTGAATATTGTAAACCATGGATGTTTAAAAAAAAAAATGAAAAATAATTTTGAAAATTACGTCTCTGGAAAGTTATGCAATGGGGGCTATAATAATTATTATCTAGTTTTTGTTTTTATTCACGTATTCAACGCATCGGCTTGGATCGGTGGGGAAATATTCTTGACATTTGGTCATTAGTCGTTTGAGTCCTTGAATGTATTTGCGTTGTGTTTCATCGTTCATAACATGAGCGACATTTTTTGAGAAAATCTTTTCACGACCGGTACGAGCATGAATACCAACCATAGTCACACCGATTGGCCACGGTGCATTTCCGATGGCCATTTGTAAATATGCATCGCTCGCTTTAATATAATTTCGTGACAATAAATGTTTTATAATTTCCGTTAAACTGTCCAAAATATCGTCGGGAATTTGTCGTGTTTTGAGTTTTCGTAGCAATGGTTTCATATAAACTTTTGTTTGGTTATAGGTGGCACGGGCGATTTTTACATTTGTCGTATGGTCTTTCTGTGAATTGACTTGTGCATTCCATAGTTTAAGTAAAAATTCCAGGAGTGTACTAATCACCAAGTGGTCATGATCTTTGTTACCGCGTCCCAAACGCTTTGCCATTTCTTGAATTTCATCATAGGTTATCGATTCATCTAGCACATCGATTTCTTGTTGCTTGTTATCCTTTGCATGATTCGCCTCGGATGAGTCTAACATTTCTTTTAAGTATTGTTGATCAACTTCATCCATAGCTTCTTGGAAATCGTTTCGAAAACCATGCTGTACTTCGGGCTGCATAATTTCAATGTGTCGTAATCGCAAAAATGCATTGCGATCGCTTTCACCGAATAATCGAATTGGCTCATTTCGATCTCGCAGACGACGAATAACTTCAATACGTGGTAACTCTTTCTGCTCGGGACTTAAATTCGATTTCATTTCTGTCAGACAAGAAAAAAGGCATATAAAAAATAAAATTACGAATTATGCACACAAATAAGGAATGAATTACTTACGTGAGTCGGAACTTTTTTCAGGCGTTGATGCATTATCGTTCTGTTTACCATGTGATGCTGAATTCGTTTCTTTCTCCTGTGCCAACAAGTCTCCGCGTCTGAAGAACTTCTTTTTCGAATTCTATTGAATTTAAAAATGTGATTTTCATATTGAGACAAAACGATTTCAATGCACACAAATAAATTTAATACTCACCACCAAATTTTTATCCTCTAGCAATTTCCGCTTTCGCTCAATTTCTGCTTTTAAAATATCCATTCTTTCAATTTGTGTTTATGACAAAAATTATTGAAGTTGGATCAAAATGTATTCGGTTTTTTTATTCTTTTATTTACAAAGTTTGTTTTCCAACAACACGAAATATTCCACATGAATTGAAACAAAATGTCAAAACGAACCATTGTTGTCACTGGCATGAAGTTGGCGCTACACAATTACTTCAGATGTATTATATGGCGGTCGATTTAAAATGAATATGTCATGAAAATTATAAGCGTTCAAAACATACAATATTTGTTTACTTCTTGAAACAAACACAATAAAATTCAGGTAATAAAATATTTGGAGCGCAAGAATTTAATATGCAACTTAAAGCAATGGCACATTTTGGTGCATTATAAGAAATTTTTTGTCTCACTATGCCTGAAATACGTTGAGAATATCGTTTTCATTTGGACTAGTTATAACTTACTAGTTTTATTTACTCAACCCTTAACTGAGAAAACATAATAATTCTGCGAGATGGTTGACTCCTTGGGCTAGCTACTCCTTTTTTTGCATTACACTCGGCATTAAAATTATAAATATTATTTGCGTTTATAATTTATTTATTACTTGTTGCTATTTTGAATCAATTTAAACATCTATTAAACACATAATTTAAAATGAAAGTAAGGTCTAATTTTGTTGAATATATTGATTTTTTTTACCGATAAATGCGGTTTTACTTAAGTTAAAACTAAAAAATTTACTATTCTCTACGTTGACAATTTTTTAACAACTATAATAATACTATATTCTTCATGTGTATATGTAACAGCTTAAGCAATCTTCAAAAGTAAGAAGCTCGGCTTCTATGTGTTCAATTGATTGGTACTTTAATAATTTTATTTGTCTCCAGCATGACAGGAAGTTGCTGAAATCAATGTGAATTATTAAATATATCGAGATTTTAGCACGGTATCTGGTGACTATGGTTAGAGTGTATTTTTTATTCGTATGGATAATACGAGTATGGTATAGTTAAAAATAAAGTATTTTTAATACTTACTTCTTTTGGATAGATCCAATCGTAATAATTTGAAATTTTCACCTGCACTTGTGGCCACGGGTGAACTACATCTCCCATACCCCAGGATATAATACCGACGCATACTCTTTCATTTGTAGTCGTATTGTGTAAAAATGAGCAGCCTGAAATAAAAATGTTATATTAGTTATACTATATATGAAAATTTCTAACAATTTATATAAATGTTTTAGAATAAAAATAGCATATTTAACAAAATTCAATCTCTACCTCCAGAATCCCCTTCCGCAAAAAATTTCATCGTTTGATTCCCCAAACAGAACATATTTTCAGTCACAATATCGCCTTCTGGGGCGTAATCTTTTTTACATTCTTCAAAATCTAAAATTGGCAGTTGAATGTATCGCAGTAAGGAGTCTGAATTGCTGTATTCTGAACAGCCCTGAACGTCCATAGCCACAAGCAGTTAACAGTGTTCCCACTTTTTTATATATATATATATCACTTGAATTAGCAATTCTTATTGGACCGATTGATGCTGTAAAGTTAAGCGGGGTTTTCAATGTCAAAACGGCGATATCATGGTCGTTGGCAACACCAGTGTTGTAATCTGGATATACATTTATGTCAGATACATTAACAACAGTTCCACCATAGGTTGCATTAAGGGATCCTGCTCTGATGTAAATATTTGATCTATTATATACGCAGTGCGCAGCCGTCACTATTCTTTGGCGATCAATTATAGACCCACCGCACCACATATTGGATTCGTAATCTTCAACTGCCACATGATGATTAAACAACTTTTTTTGAAGCTCCTCCGTTACAGGATCTCCACCTATCATTTTCACTTCTTTTTGCTTTATAGCAGATATTGTTAAGAATATTGTTACAATTAGGAATTTAAGCAACATTTTGTAGCCCACCACTTTTTTCACACAAGAAAATAAAATGGGTGTAGCTTTAATACAAAGATAGACACTGAATTAGAGAAAATTACTTGACAAAAAAAAATACAAAAATTGCATCCGTCGAGAATGGGGCTTGGATAATAAATAAGAATGTACTGAAAGAAAAACGTTGTTACAGCATTCATTATATATTTCAACTTTTCAACACATTTCATATGAATTTGCTGAATTTGTTATTTTTACGTACTTTTTCTTAAACAGTTAATGTTTATTATGCATATTTTAATAACAAACTTTTTGTTTAACAAAATTTATAAAAATACAAATATTCAGTAGTTTGTTGTACTGACTCTTTACAAGGTCGCATAAGTAATTTTAAAAATATCGTTTTTTTGTTTTTTTGTCAAATGATGAAATTGCATTCGTCTAATGAAATGGAAACTTGTTGAATTTGTATATGTATTTTATGGAAACGTACGAGTATTAAAAGAGTATCGTTCTATGAGCTTGGAGCGGACCCAATGAATGTCAGATAAATTACGTATATATACACTGTATATTATACAGCCTATATTCGACTTTTTTGAAAATATTAAATTAATAAAAGCCAAAGTATAAGATTTTTATTGGTTTCTGCTCCCAGAAAACAGTTTAGTTTAGAAAAATTGTTAATCTCAAATTGTCCCGAGGTATATTCTTTTGCAAATTAAACATGCAAAAAATCAAATATATAATCAAGTATCGTTTTTTGTATGTATTGGAACTTTATCTTTGTAAACACGGTGAAAATATTACAAATATGTGACATATGTGTATGGGAGGCCGATATTTAAATGGCCGACCGGCCACTTTTCATTATTTGCCAATGACACCATGACAATTTTGTATTTTACAAGCACAAACAGGCGCCAAGTGATAGCTCATTTCAAGGCCTTTCCAACACACAAGAGATAAACCCAACAAATTATTATAGGATTCTTATTAAAAAAATGAATTTGTAAGGTTTCC